GAAAGAGAAGTTGCCCCCTGGGAGGATGGCCATGACACAATCCCTTCTCCATTCTCCTCCAGAGATTTTGGGCATACATGTACACATACCCAGCGTGTTTTTCAAGCTGTCAGGTCTGGGACTGAAACAGTGCAGTCGGCCATGTGGGATCCAGCTGCCATTATCTATAAATATGGTTACATTCTGAGGTATAGAGGCTAGGACATTATCATGAATTTTGGGAGGAAATAGTTCAGTCCAGAATATCATACCTACATGAGGATAATTTATTTACAGAAGTAACTACAAACCACCTAGATAGATCTACTAAACCCATACTAAATGTATCCCAAACCCAACTTCCTTAGCCAAATCCAAAATGTCTATGGCCTCTTTCTTGCTACCTGACCCAAAAAAATGTGATGGGAGGGGAAGTCAGACAGGAAAGAGACCTCAATCTTAACCAATTACAGTTTAAATACATCCCCCGCCTCAGTATTACAAAAGCCCATTACCAGGTTAACATGTTACTTGGTTTCTACAGCGCCTTGGAAGAAGTCTGCAAGGGAGGCCCCTGAAACCAGATTCCTTAGCAAATAGGATATACACGACCCTGCTCAGCCCAGCTTATATCTGCACCATACAAAGAGAGGAAATTTTCACCAAAGGTGGAACATTAATAATTACATTGAGTCCCCATTCTTTAGCATCAGACCCTGAAAGAGAGGGGAGGGTTACTGTCCTGCCAAAAGAAGGACCCTCCCTTTTCTTTTCTTTTTTTTTAGGTTTTTCACTATAGGGCGCGTGCGCTCGCCAGACAGAGAGAGACAGAGAGACAGAAAGCGAGAAATCACCCCCCAGAGGGGATGGCCACACCGCAATCCCTTCTCCTCCATTCTCCTCTCGGGATCTTGGGCACACACGCACACGCGCCCGGCGCGGGTTTCAAGCCACTGGGTCCGGGACGCAAACTGTGGTTGACTACGTGGGAGTCCAGCAACATAGCCATTACGCTAACTGCTGGTTCCCCCTCCCTTTTCTTATACTGTCATCCTTGATGCCTACTTTTCCTCCATTTCCCCACCCCAGTCCACTCTATCTTCTAAAAGTACAAAGTGAAATTCATAGAAGGAGGCTTCAGCCTGCACTCTAGAAATGGTGCAGGGGCTTCTTCTTCCTTCCTGGGATTCCCCAACTCCTAAATCTGTCTTTAATTCTCTCCCTCACTTATGTCTCAGGAGATAAGTGTTTTCTCAGACAAGAAAAGTAATTAGAGTCGTACACCTTTATAACTCCAAACCTATCATCAGTATGCCCAGAGTGACTTGCTGAACCCTCCAGGATCAGGTGCTTAGTTCTCATGGTTCCTGCCTGGGTTTCCAACCAAACAAGTGTGAGTTCTTCTCAGTAAGTCTAGTCTCACTAATTGTTTGGATTATGACAGAATGACCTCTCTCTACTGGTAACTGAGGGTTGCTGCTGCCTAAAATGTTTAACTTTTCCCTTTATTCCATACAAATCATTGTACACTCATGATTTAGGAGAAAGTCTGTTTTTATGCCACCAGTCCTAGCTCAAACCCTGAGGAATCAAATGTTTCCTACGTTAAAGCTGAGTGTCCATCTTTCCATTTTTTGCCCTATTGTCCCAACCCGCAGGACAGTTGAACAGTCACCCGAGGGAGGGAGTGAGAGAAGGGACAAACACAGAGAGTGGAGACAAGACAAGGTGCTGATCAAGTCTCGTTTATTGAGGAAGTATGACAAGCTTATATGCGCTCAGAAATAGGCGTGTCTGCTTATGCAGATAGATTTTTTAGGCAAAGGGAGGGACGGTTGGTCATGTGGTTTTTGGGAATCGGTTTGCTCGGTGGGGAAGCAGAAACTTAAGGTCTCCTTATACACAAAATGGCGGAGTACTCAAAATGGCGGATAGCTCTTAAGATGGCTCCTGTGTTGCTCACTTAATGCATCGCCCTCCACATGTCCCCCTTTTTTATTTTATAAAAAGAGGAGAAAAGCCTGGGGGAATCGTGCCTGTCTTAGGTTGGAGTCGTTTTTAGAGCCACATGTCTTATCCTTACTTGTCATTGGAGAATCCCATTGTGATGATGGGTTTCCTGTTTTAGGTGGAAGGACAATACAGCCATTGGGCTCAGACTCTCTTACCCGTCATTGGCTAACCAATTCAGCGCCTTAGGTGGGGAACAATCTAGGCTCTGTGTTCCTCCATCACTAGTTTATGGTAATGGACTTGGATAGGCTGTATTTTTATTGAGTTGATTTGTTGTTTAAGGAATGTCATGAGTTTATTAAAAAGAATAGGCCCCAAAGAGCAAACAATCAAAAGGCCGAAACGAGGACTGAGTAAAGGGAGCAGAAATGGGAGAAGTCCGTTCTACGTGGTCCATAAGGAGTTGTCGGCGAGTTGTTTTCTGTGCTTAAGATTTTTTTGTAGTTGATTTAGCTTATCATGTACTATGCCGGATTTGTTGGCGTAAAAGCAGCAATGTTTCTGTAAAGCTAGACAAAGACCACGTGTCCCAACCCGCAGGACAGTCGAACAGTCACCTGAGGGAGGGAGTGAGAGAAGGGACAAACACAGAGTGGAGACAAGACAAGGTGCTGATCAAGTCTCGTTTATTGAGGACGTATGGCAAGTTTATATGCGCTCAAAAATAGGCTTGTCTGCTTACGCAGATAGGTTTTTAGGCAATGGGAGGGACGGTTGGTCATGTGACTTCTGTGAATCGGTTTGCTTGGTGGGGGAATAGAAACTTAAGGTCTCCTTATACACAAAATGGCAGAATACCCAAAATGGCGGATAGCTCTTAAGATGGCTCCTGTTTTGCTCACTTAATGCATTGCCCTCCACACCCTATATTGTCTTTTTTTTTTTTTTTTTTTTTTTTTTATTTTGTTATGGGGTGGGGACCGGAGGG